TTCCCACAACAAAATACAATATAATGTTGTCTATTGACACATTACTTCAACACATCAGGTTCCGTTTCTCTCTATCTCTCTCTGCCCAGTCATTTATTTAATTGTTGATGCTTTTTGATGAATGCACAAGACATGACATTCAAAACCTTTTACAGGGTTTCAGACCTGGTGAAGAAGCTTTTGGTGACTGAAGCTTTAATCAGCTCCTCCAGATGGCCCTGGGACAACCATGTTTTTTTGACTGATATAGATAAAATTCCACTCTCTGTAACCAGCAGAGAATGAAGAAATAACTCATTGTGTGCATTAATACCCAAGTAGGCACTCAACATCTGCAGTGAGTCAAGCCCATGACCACAAAGCAACAAGGAGAGCTCCCCCTAAGGCTTTGCAACACAGACAAAATGGCAGGATGTCAGGTTTACTGCTCATTGAAAAGAAAAACCTTTGAGTGTAGCTAATTGTGTGAACGTCAACAGGGACACATGTACACTCGGTTGCCTTTTGTGTTAAATGTTTCATTTTATTTATTTTCCTTATTTACCATAGGGGTCTGGTGCAAACCAGCTCATGTTTCTGGCCAAAATTGATTTTTTAGTTTCAAGTTATTTCAAAGGTGTCTTAATACTATATCTCAATACTGTTCAAAAAATGTTTTCTCTCTTTATTTTTTTCCCATTCCGTAGTTCTCCCCTCTCTAGGTGATGAGTCATTTAAAACCCTCTTGCATCCTTTTCTATTCCACTGTCTTTTCTTCTGGTAAACTCTGTGCTTGTGAAAATTAGGGATGTCAGTGATAAAATATCTGGAATGCTCTTGCATTCTGAGCACCTTGGGGGTGAAATTCAGCTGGTCACTGCAGTTCCTGACCTTACTTCGAGGTTTCGTTTATAATGAGGCAATTCCATCCTATTACACACATCTCTGGATTCATTTAAGAAACAATTTGATGTGGTAATGGGAGAACTGGAGAATGGGTATTCCAAAAGGAGATCAAATGGGCCAAAGGACCCTTCTACATTCAAATCTTTTGTAATCTTGCCAAATATGTATCTTTCCTCACCTCACCTCTCTTTCTCCCCCCACCCTCTTTCCCAGTGTCGGCATCAAGCACACTGAGTAAACAACAACTTGTATTTATATAGCGCCCTCCACGCAGAGCAGCGTCTCAGAGCGCTTAACAGTGATGGAGCCTGACTCTGAGCTGGGGGTGTGTGTGTGTGGGGGGGGAGGGGGAGGTGACTGAGCACAGTCAAAAAGGAAGGTTTTCAGGTGGGACTTGAAAAATGGAGAGAGGGGGCAAAGCGGAGGGATTGAGGGAGAGTGCTCCACAAACACATGGTGAGAGGCACCTATAGTGGGGTTTGGCACCAGGTCATTATGTTGAGCACCAACTACAAATGAAGAAGAATTGTTTGATGAAAGTCTTTGAGAGAGCGGCACAGAAAAGTAATTCAGCACGACTTTGAAAATCAACCAGAACTAAAAAGTGAGCTGTTTTCAGAACAGGTTTAATAATTATTGAATGCACTGTGAAGTCCATTACGAAATATTGTACTTTTTCTCCTTTTTCATCTATTCATAAAGACTGATTATGTGTGTGTGAACCCCGCAACCCCCCGCCACAACCACACACAACATACACACACAATAGAGGGGAAAACTGCCTTCGGATGCAACCTTTCTGCTGAAGTCGGGGGAGGCAGGGGGAATTCTCATTATTTGAATCAATGGGAAAATGCATTGCTTCATTACAGAATTCGCGAAACATTCATAATTATCAAATCTGTTGGTCAATTGCTATTTTGCATCTTATTAACGTAATAGTAATAGGTTTGAGTCATGTACATTTATTATACTTCTAAATCAGGGCACTGGAGCTTCCTCAAGGTGAGTCGTAAAGTAAAATTTGAGGCAGGTGGCTGAATTCTTTCTGAATCATCTATTACTCAGTGTGATGTACCCTGTATCTGGGGGTGCACTGCCTGAAAGCAAGAGCCAATCAAACAACAGAAACGAACGGATTTCACTTTAGTCTAGTGTATCCGGGAACGCAAATGTCAGGAAATAAACATGTGAACATTAGTAGAATGTTGACGGTTTCATAGCCTGCTTACGAATAGTAAAAGCAAATTAACTGTGAAAGAAATGATTAACACAGCACATTCCAAAGCACAATGCACAGCGGTAACCATTAACAATCCAGCATATTCTTGTCGGCTGAACTGTGCTCTCGATAAACATATTTCCTGACTGGGGACAGTCATCACTTTCCTGTAATTGCAGTCACTTTCTCTCAGTTGGTTTTTCAAGCACACTGGCAGGAAAAGGTCACGTGGCCCTCTCTGCAATCACAGCACCAATGTGCATCCAGTCACGTCCTACAGGTGTACCAGCAAGTTGTAGGTGACCAGTTACCATTTGTCACTGGAATCATACAGCGGTATCATATGATTATAACATAGATAAATCATGGTCTGTGGATCTCCATAATGCATCTTCCAAGTAAACAGTGAATCAGTTTGTAATCTTACGGGACAAGACATTTGATATCTGGTCATCCATTCCCTCCAGTGGTCACTTGTTGGAAACATTGTTATTACAGAACTTACTACAGACTCTGAGTACTGCCATGTTCTGAAAAAAACAGTATTTTTTGCAAACATGGCATTTCAGTTCAGTTGGTAAAACTCTTGTTTCTGGATTCATAGTTCGTGGATTTAAGCCCCATTTCAAGCCTTTGAACTCATGGCCTAAGATGACCACTCCGGTGAATGAGATCTTAAATCAAGACCTCACCTGGCTGCTCAAGTCGACATTGAAAAGAGAAACTAGTTTTTCTTGGTGTCCTGGCCAACAAGCTTCCAAATAAATTGATCATTCACTTCATGGATGTTTGGTAGTAAGTACCTTGCTGCCTGCAAATTGGCAACTGAATTTGCTTACAAACCCCCGACACATTTGAGAACTTTTGATGTTAGTCACTATATCAAACACAAAGAATATCATTAGATGTTGAGAAACTTAACCATTACAGAAATAATATTGGATTCTGTTACTGAACAGCCCAAAAAGAGACTCACCTACAGCCAATCAACAACAACAACTTGGATTTATATAGCGCCCTTCACGCCGGATGGCAATCACATTGAATTGTTGGATTTATGAACACACGATACAGCTGTCTTCAACTTATACCACATAAACTTGTTAACAGATGTGCAATAAGTCTTAAAATCTTAACCGAACACAATTGTTATTGCACATCGGGTCACTAATGTTTTCTCTTTTACACACAGTTCCAGCAACAAAGCTCTGCATTTGTCCTTGTTTATAAATTAAATATTGTCTGATCTTCAAACGTAATTCAGCAAAAACGCCTGCCGAATGTTTATTCATTCTACATCTCACCACTATTTGACCTGGCCTGCTGCCTTTCATAACCAACCTCCACACCTTCCCCTGTTCCCACCATCAAGCACACAAACAGCAATACCCCATGTACTGTTGTATCACCACTGTTACATACCTGCTCTGAATTTTTTAATAGAAAGCAATGACATCACAGAAAGCTACCTGAAGGAATTGGAGTCCGACAGTGCTGAGGATTGAATTCACATCAGTAGATTAACCTACGTACACTTAGTTCAACTATAAATGACAGTTTAGCTCCCTCATGCTGTTGGGCATAAGAACTCATCCAATCCCATTCCCTGCTTGATGACAACATTCCCAGAAGTACTAGGATTCAAGTATATAATAGGGACCCTTGTGTAAAGCCAGAGCTGGGCAAGAAAATGACAGACCTTAACTGTCATTGTGAATTGGTGATCATGGCTTCATCGTTCTCTCTGTTTCACTGATGTGACAGCAAATGTCCAGAGGTCCCTGATGCTTATCGTGGATTTATACTGTTTATGTGACAGCAAGGGAATTGGAAGTACAATAAAAGATTCAGCCATTACAATCCACATTTGATAATCTCAAGTGTACAGAAAGCTGGACACATGAATCTCATGGAGGTGTAGATTGAAATTCTGCAGCTCTTTTGGAGCTGAAATCGAGAGAGAGAAGAAATACACAAAGACTATATCTTCAGTTATCTCTGTACAGTAAAACCCAACTGATTTTGGATTTGGCAAGGAAAAGGTCAAAACAAATAATTCATCAAGGTTTGGGATCTGTGTCTGCTTCCATCACATTTCAATGGAAGTTCTCAGATCTAAAACGATTGTCTGTGCTACTGAAATGATGTGCTCAGGCTTGTTTTATTTTTTTTCAACACATTTGCCCTTGATATTGATGGCAGATCCAGAGAAATTTGTATCTTCTTCGGCCATCCAATGTTGTAAGATTTTAGCTCAAGCTATGTGACAGTGAAATAAACACTAATATCCCGCTACACAAATCTATCCACGATCAGAAGTAACTATTACTGTACCATTAATCCAAAACTATCATCTGAATAAATTGTTATTTTATTGCAAGTACTTTAATTTTGTACCATTGGTAGTGTTTCCCTCCTTATAGTTCCTTTTCCCATTTTAGATTTGATCCTGTGTTTTTCTGATTTCTGAAAAATTCCAGGCCAGCTATCTGAATATGGACTAGGAAGCTAGTATTAAATAGCCCATTTTTAAGGGAGTGTAATGATTAAAATTAACACTGCACCAGTTAGTAGCATTCATCCAACCATTTGCTGTTTGGTTTCAAGTTCCAGTTGATTCGCTTAAAGGGATAACACCAATTCCTTTGTAAGATCAGTTATATTCTCATGTAACCTGAAATTGGTTCGCAGCAGGCGCCACCGAATATTTTAACACCAATAACAATAGCAATAATACTTGTGATCAGTCATCTGATTCCTATAAGCTTTAACTCTTTTCACAGACAGTTGTGTGCTGTGAATGTGTGTCTAGTGGGAATCAGGATGGAGCTGCCCAGATTATGGGTTCCTTGCTGGTTTTGTATAGTAAATATGAGGTGGGTTATCTACTTACTTTGCAGAGGAAGCTTATGTTGAAGCCAAATGTTCCAGCTTTCTGCGAGCCGGAGTTCATGTAATTTCCAACCAGCAGAACCAGCTCCAGCAGTTTGCCAAAATGCTCGCTCTTTCTGACTTCTTCGCAAGCTGCGGTCACCGAGACAATATCCGGTTTGATGGTGTTGATCTGCTCCTCAAACTGGAGCTTGAACTGAATGGCAGCTAATCGAGTGTGCAGTCTCTGTACACAGCTGATCTGCAGAGGAATAAAAGACCTGATTCATTAACAGAAATTGCTAAAATAAACATAGGATAAGGAACGCATGGGCAGAGATGTAGAGATGTATCACGTTTTGTAACAAATTTGATACAATAATGACCACAGTTAAATCAATTCACAGACACAGTGCTAGATAAGTTACATTTGCTGCTGAGACCAAGTTGGAGAACTGTGGAATGTCAGGAGGCAGCTAATGTATCACAAAATGCTTGATGGGATATACACGTGGCCTGATGACTGTTAAATTAAGTTCAATACAGATAATGCAAGGTAAACATAGCAAGCACATACCATCGCTCTTTCTAAATCCTTTGCTGCCTTAGCTGCTTCCATAGTCACTGCTAATTTTCAGTGCCATCTGAAAATGTAACTACTTTACACTGCAAAGTGATTCTATGTGATAATTATCACGTTGAATGTGTTACCACCTGTTGCATGGATTGGATTGAACTTATCAAGGGAGAAGCTGAAAGAGACTAGGAGTATAAATTGACACATCTCTCAACATGTCAATACTGTGCGAGGTTGCAATAACCAAGATAAACAGGATGCTGGGCTATATTGCCAAACCCCAAGGAGGTTGCCCATGCCCAGGACAAGCTAGGTCTCTTCTGTCTTGAAATGAGACATCTCACAGGTAACCGTAGCAAGGTGCAATGAATTCTGGACAGTCTGGCTTTGACATCCAACTGTTTTATTCATGCATCTGGGTCAAGATTTATTAATGTATTGTTCAATTATACGTAATGATCCTGTACATTTGGACTGGTTTGTGTAGATCCTTAATATATGAGCGAAGGATGGTTAAAATTGAGCACATCCCATAGGATCACTAAATAATTAATGAGAACTACAACCAATTATCATGTGACAGTGTTCTGTAACTGTGTGACGCTAACCACAAATGACAGCGCAATAACTGAAAATAGACTATTACTATTAAGGAGACTAAATTTTTAGTAACATTTGAGTCCAACAATAAGATCTACATTAACAGAATCCCTCCTGGACATGTGCTGGTGCCCTGGCCCATGAGTGTTAAAATGTTAAAAGTAGGACAATGCAACAAGGAAATGTACATCGCTAAAATCAACCCTTGCATTTACATGTGGTCCTTCTTCCTGCAACAACCTGAGTAGGACAGACCTAATAAATCTTTATAATTGGTTGCATCCAAGTTTTGAAATTGACATTGGCGTCTCAGGAAACTGAACAATGGGGTTAAAGTTCTACTTGTGCTACAGAACCTCACTCAAAAGTACGTAATGAGAATAATTTCTCTGGGGACAAATTCCACTCTGGTCTTTATTTACTCAGAGCGTGCAGAATTTGGATTGAATTAGAATTTGGACAAATTCTTAAATACAGCCTTAATTTTAAAGTTGGTTGTAAGCTCATTTAAAAGCTTCAGAAAAAAATATTCAAAGTTAGGACTGAATTCAATGATGTACCAAATACTGCAAATCAAAATCCTGAGAAAATAGAGTAAATCTAGACTCAGATGGATTTTTCTTAACCGAGTAATGTTAAACATCTTTGGTGGTAATTTTATTCGTGGCATAATTGTCAACCTTTAGAGTTTCTGCTGGTTGTCTTTGAGCAAACTGCTCACAAAGAAGAACTTGTGTTTTTATTGTGTCTCATTACATCCAAACATCTCAAAATCCTTCACATGTAATCACTGTCAAGTATTCCCCCGCTCCCCCACTCAAAAATGCACAAGAGTATCAGCTTACACCTTGAGGTCAAGACCTGACATGGGGGATGAACCCATCACCTTCTGATCCAGAGGCAAGAGTGCCATTACCTGAGCCCATTCTGACAGTTAGAATTCATAATGAGAAAGTGCACAGGAGAGATGGCTGACCATCATTAAGCCTTCCTGCTAAAAAGCTATATATGAGCATGGTACCAAAAAGCAACAGTGGAATCATAGCCTGGAAGGAAAAGAGGGAAGTTGTATTTCCATAGTGTCTTATTGTGTTGAAATATCTCAATGTCCTTTACAATAATTGCTATTGAGTGCAATGATTAATTTTGTAGGTAAATGTGGCTGGATGTACACATCAAACAGCTATGCCATGAATGATCATTTTTCCTACAAATTTATTTTACTATGTATTGAAATAGTGCCATAGGATCTAGCGCAGACTAGTTGGGCCAAATGGTCTGTTTCTGTGCCATATTATTCCATGTAATTTGATGTCCATCTGAAGAATGGGCAGACAAGACCTTGGATTAAAGTAACTGCCTGAGGTAACAAGTTACTGCCTTCAAAAAAATGGGAGACAATTGGTGGGAAAAACAATCAAAAAAAGTACCAGGTCTTCAGAACTCTTTCTGTTGAACACCCACAGTTTAGCCCTTAAGCCAAGTTTCAAAATATGTTTTTTCTTCTCGTCAATGGGAGTTCAATCCAGAGATCAATATTTGTTCATGCATTACATATTTTCAATAAAATGGACAATAAAGATAAAGTCATATAAAATTGTGGGAGTTTGAACTCATACCTAAACTGATACCCAAGTATAATGCTGGGGAATGTTGCATTGACAGAGATGTTTTCCTTCATACGGGATGTTAAACCAAGATCCTGTCTGCTGTGGAGAGGCCTTGGAAGTGAGGAAGAGGATTTTGAATTCTTTCCTCTGAGGGTTGGGGAGCTTGTGGAGCTGGGTAAGGGTGGGGTTGATGGGGTCACAAAGCCTGGTGCGGGAGAGGACTCGAGCCGCAGAGTTCTGGATGACTGTAGCTTGTGGAGGGAAGAGTTGGGGAGGCCAACAAGGAGGGAGTTTCCATAGTCTAGCCTTGAGGTGATGAATGTGTGTATGAGGCTTTCTGCAGCCTGAGGAGTGAGGCAGTGGCGGAGGTGGGGGAAAGCAGAGCGGGTCATGGCACGGATATGGAGGAGAAAGGACAGCTGAGGGTCGAACAAGATGCCCAGGTTCCTGACTGGCTTGGAGAGATGGAGTGTGCATCCATGGATGGCGATTCTGCCAGTGCCTCAGTTTCAGAGACGCGGGCGCGAGCCAATCGGGAGGGCCTTGGTCTTGCTGGCATTCAGCTGCAGAAAGTTAGCTCTCATCCAGGACTTGATGTTGACAGGCATTCTGTCAGGACAGCAGTTGTCCTGGAATCGAGGGTAGAGGCAGAGGGATAGAGTTGGGTGTCATCCGCATACATGTGGAAGTTATTCCCATGTCTGCATGGAGCATATAGAGGTTGAAGAGGAGGGGGCCGAGGGTAGAGCCCTGAGAAACACCACACAAGTGCAGGGGCTGGAAGAGAAACCATTGGCGGAGACAAATTGGAGATAGTATGAGAGATAAGACCTAAACCATTCAAAGACAGAACTTTAAGGTTGAGATGAGAGGAGAGGTGATGGAGGAGAATGGAGTGGTCCATGGTATCAAAGGCAGCAAAGAGATCGTGGAGGACAAGGAGGCAGAGGGAGCCCTGGTCACAGATGGACACCTTGACCAGAACAGTTTCCGTGCTGTGATGGGTAAGCGTCGGAGTATGGGGGGGTTGGGGAGAAATAGGGAGGGAGTGGTGGTTGGGAGGGCGGAGGCAGCTGATCAGATTCCCTTGATTTGGGACTTGAGGAAATCCAGTATCTCCTCACAGTCAGAGTTAACAATGGTGGACAATGAAAGTGATTGCAGTGGTAAAAATGGGCAAAGGTGTGGAGGAACTTGAAAGTCAATATGAGGATCTTCAAGTCAAACCTCTGCATTTAGTGTAGATTATTACACTTAATGCTGCAACTGAATTTTCAATATGGGGATATCCAATCTTAGTGGCTTTAACATGTCTGACTGTTGTAGATTAAAGTACACACTTCCTTAAGTCTTAGAAACATAGAAACAAGTGTAGACTATTCAGTCTCTCAAGCCTTTTCCGCAATTTTAAGATTATGCCCCCCTGTTCTAGATTCCCGCATCAGAGGAAATAGTTTCTCTGTACCTACCCTATTGAATCCCTTTATTACTTTAAATGTCTTATACAGGTTAAAGCCACTAAGATTGTATATCCTCATATTGAAAACAGGTCATTATTTGTTCTTTCTGAGATCAGCTGCTGCCTGAGTGTACTTTTGAGGTTGGGAGCTTTTCTAAACAGCAAATTCAGCGAGGCAGCTAGATTGCTAGATTTGAATTCAAAGAGAGTTATTTTTCTCTCCCTCAAAGTCAGCTCATCAAAAAAGATATGCATATCTCAGGGTCCATTTGTGCATGAGAATTATGTTGTACTGAATAGTTTTCAATAAAGTGTCAGAGATTGTGAAAAGGCCAGTGTTTAAATGCAGGCTTGGTGTAGCAAAACATACGAAAATTATCCAATCACTCCTGCGCAGTGAGGGAAAAGTACCAACAAGCCTACTCAAGCACAAATCTCTTCCGCTGCAGTTATATTACGTGCTTTATATCTCACATCGAGTGACAGCAGAGGTGGTGACTGCTGCTAGTGCGACAGAGCTACCAACATGGCACGATTTTTAATGAACAATAGACTTTTCACGGGTTACCTCATAACATTTGAGCACCAGTCGTTCATATTTCCCGTATCAGAACAAGCAGAATTACTCAATAAAGCAACACAGCTTTTGTCCTGAATCATACCAACTGCAATGCTTTTTGTACATTTGTTTTCTCCTCACAAAATCACAAATGATCGGGCAATTTGATTTTAAAAAATTCCTTGCATTTGATATCATGCTTTATCAAGTTGTTGAGTCACCGCAGTTTACAGGATTTTATTTTGATCTCAAAACTCATCAATATTCACCCAATTATTCCCCCATTACAGCATCAAGCTGTTTCTTAAACATGTCCAGGGTCTTCCCCTCCACCTGCCATCCTAGCAACCTGTTCCATCTGTTAATTACCCTCTGTTTAAAAATTCCAATAATGTTCCAGGTTTAATGGCATTTTCTGATTCTATTTCACCTCCAACAGGTATGGGGGAAACATCAT